AAGTTTAATCATCAATAGGGAGGTGACTAATTCATTCAAGCTGGCACGGGACTGCGATAAGGTGACCCGTTACCACCTTACATATTCCTTATATGTATGGAGGGATTATCATCACTTCTAGCAAAGGCCCATTTGGAAGGTGGCATGAGGGGTGTTCATGCTAGTGTTGCCGGACCAAGGATCACTCATCTTTTCTTCACCAATGACAGCCTTTTGTTTATTAAAGCAAATCGGGTTGAGGGCGAGAAGGTGAAAGGCTTGTTAAAGGTGTATGATAAGTTAGGCCTTTTCTTTAGCAAGAATACCAACATACACCAACAACAGATAGTGACGGATATTTTTGGCATACAAGTCATGAGCAGTCCAGAAAAATACTTGGGGTCTTCCAATGATTGTAGGGAGAAGGAAAAAGATGGACTTTAGAGAGATTATAGATAAAATGCGAAAGAAGGTGCGAAACTAGAGGATTTCAACTGACGGCAAAGAGGTGTTCATCAAATCAGTATTACAATCCATGTCAACCCACGCCATGTCTTGCTTTTACTTGTCTAAAGGATTGTGTCACGATTTAAATATGGTAATAACCAAATATTGATAGGGTCGAGACACCAATGGCAAAGGGATTCATTGGCTAATTTGGAAGAAGCTGTGTAGTAGCAAAAATGATGGAGGCATGGGGTTCAAGGAAATGGACTCTTTCAACCGGGCATTGCTTGCCAAGCAAAGTTGGAGAATGGTGAAAAACACATCCTCTCTAGTATATAAAGTTCTAAAAAAGAGGTATTTTTCTAAATCCACCTTTATGGATGCTGAATTGGTAGATGCCTATCTTATATTTGGAAGAGCTTATGCATAGGGCGTGAGTGTCTGAGGAAAGCTATAAGATGGAAGGTGGGATCGAGGGATGAAATAAAGATTTGGGAGGACTTGTGGATACCAAGGGAGAGTGTTTTTTTTCCTCGATCGAGAGACAACATGGTACCTGGAGTGGGTTGGTCAAAGAGCTCTTTAATGATACCACTCAACAATGGGATGAAAGAAGGTTAGAAGGGATGTTCTGCAAAGAAACAATAGAGGACATTTTAACTATCCCGTTGAGTAGTATTGAAGCAAAAAATGAAATGGTATGGCACTACAGTAAGGATGAAAATTACACGGTCAGAAGTGATTATAAACTCTTACTCTCAAGTGCACCTAAAACCAAAACAGAGCAGAAACCGGGAGATGATAGGGAGGAAGCACAGATAGTAGGGCTTTAGAGAAGGATATGGAGGACCAATCTACCGAGCAAAATCAAAGTTTTTGAGTTTTTCCTAGCACTGAGATAAAATAAAATCTTTATTCTTTAATAGGAGTACTTTTAATTTTATTTACCTAAATAGGGTAATTCATGCCACATCATCATTTTTTTCATACAGTTTTTTCCTTGTTGCTCGACTCCCCCTTCTATTGCCCTGTTATCCTTGGTTATCACGTTTAATTCCATCACTGTTTGTCTCATCTTTAAACTAGGGTGTCCCATCTTTATCATTGTCACCATGACTTACATTCCTTGTTGCACGATACCCTTTTTTTTCAGAAAGGTTTCTGCATCCCTCTTTGTCTCTCTTTTTTTTTTTTTTTTGGTTTTACTGTGAAGTATTATATGAAGGAAAATAAAAATGTGAGATAGACAGAATAGTTTCTGCATACCTCATCTCAGTCATAGTTTTCATCGCTGTGAGCATAAAAAGAACATCATCAGTAGCGAGCTCAAAAAAAATACAAGCAAAAGAACCATAAATCTGCTAATGTTACGTATTTGGATCCAAAGATAACCTCAGGACAGTTTATACTGCGCCTGATCTAAATATCATTTGTAAATTGTTTGTACGTCCAGCAAGCATTACCAAAATCAACCAATTTACACTTGAGATGAACTTCTGCTAGCAGTTTTTTCTTTGTTGCACGACTTCCCCTTCTATTGCGCTGTTTTCCTTAATTACCATTGTTAATTTCATTACTCTTTGTCTCATCTTTAATCACAGAACTCTTTGATTGTTTTTCACCATAAACTTATTCGATTTTGCATCAGTATTAGTGTCCTCTGTACCACCAGAAGCACGTGACAGAAGCTGGGCAGCGATGAATAAATCCAGTTTACCGTTGCTTCAGATCCTTCCTCCAGATTTCTCTTGATGAAGCTTGGTTTGGTTTGGTTTGATTGCACAGATAATACTTTAATAAAGATGGAAATCAAACACCTTGGATGGAGTGGGACACTTTTTTTGGAAGTTTGTTGAAAAGAACAAGAATGATGATGTGGCATGAAGCATTCCATTTAGGTAAATAAGATTAAAAATACACTTGTTAGGGAATAAAGATTTTATTTTCCCTTGGTATAGGAAAGCCTCCAAAGTTTTTGGATGGCAGGTTAGTCACGGGATTCTACCGATTTACACAAGGTTGGCGGAAAGGAAAATTATAAATACAGGTACTTGCCCAAGGTGTGAACAACATGAATAGACTGTAGTGCATGCAATTGTATACTGTACCCATGCTGCATAAGTTTGGAAAGAGGCTCGACTGAATATATATGTAAAGGGTACCCAATGGCAACATGCAAAGGAGTGGTTGACCTAAATTATTACAAGGGTAAGCACAGAAAAGCTAGAGTGAATTATGGTCATTGTATGGGCAATATCATATTCCTTAGAAATGAAGCTATTATTAATAGCATCCATAAGATGTATCAAAGCACAGTGGCTTTCACCCAATGTTATGTAGTTGACTATGAAGAGGTTCAAGATAAACAGTTGACTGTAACCCAACAAAAGCAGGTGAAATAGAAGGCACCAAGGGAGAATGTCATAAAGTTGAATTTTGATAATGCTCTGGACATAAGAAACAGAAGGGGTGGAATCAAGTTAGTAGCTAGAAACTGAAAGGGAGAAATGATGGGGGCTGCGTGCAGGATTGCAAAAGGGTGTAGGCATGCGGGGATGGTAGAAGCACTAGCTGCGGCAACGGCTACCAAGTTTGCTAAAGAAATGAGTTTCCAAAGAATTGAGCTTGAAAGAGATACGTCGACTGTCATAAATGAAATACTACAGAAGGAGGGGAGCCTACTTTTTGAAGGTACTATTATTGATGAAGTGAAGTTTCATCTAAGCACCTTGATGGGATACTTTTGTCAGCATGTACGGTGTGAAGCAAACATAGTTGCTCATGCATTAGCGAAAACGGCTACGGGATACGAAGGGGATGTGTTTTGGGTAGAGGAGATCCAAGATGATATTTATGTGCTTGTTGATAGTGACAAGCTCTCTAATCAATAATGAAAGTTAGAATCTTTTCCTTTAAAAAAAAAACACAGTAAACTATTGAACTCCTTTTATGCTTAGACATGAACTAAACCTGTTACTTTGTTTCTTGAAAACAAATTGCTTGATTTTTCCTTTCTTTTCACTAGTACTCACCATTTTTCTTTCAGCTGAGGTGATTCTCAATATTATACTTGCATTACAGTTATATATGGCTACGATAATTTTCTTCATCTCCATCCTTGCAGCAAGCTTCAACCCATAATTTATACTGAATTTCATAACATTTAATGCCTAATAACCAATTTAAGCTTCTAATGAATATAATATACATTTTAAATTACATAAACAAAGGAAGCACTAATACTAATCTTTTTTTAGGCTAAATACACATTTGGTTTCTTAATTTTTAGAGAATTTTTGTTTTAATCACTTAACTTTGAAAATTTATGATTTAATTATCTAATTTTTTTCAATACCTAAAATTTATTATTTTTAAAAATTATACGATCATATCAATAATATTATATATCATGTCAAATGATATGATCATGTCACGTGACAAATGTCACCAAACATTGAAAATTTTGGAAGTAATTTAGTAAGGCGTTAGGCCTTTTTTTTTAATTTTTAATCTACTCTTAAATCTCTTACTTTACTATTTATCTGACTAAAGAAAATATTACACATATAAATTCTCTCAAATTTGCAACATTTTATCGTCAACTCTTATTACATATCAATTAATCTAAGATTCAATCAGCTACCATTAACTTTTAATTAATAAATGATCAATATATTAAATTTCATAAATATTAGTAATCAAATTTTAACTCTTAATGGGCCTCATTGATAATGTGTAGATCATAATTTACAATCTTATGACATTTGGCACGTAAGTATTGGTTGATGATCTCATTTTTTTTATAAGGATGTTAAATTTTATATAAAGTATCTAATGAAATGAAATTATTTAATTTTGAATTTTATTTTTATAAATATCAATGTGACAAAGGGATGTAATTTAAAAAGCAAATAAGTATTTAATCCCTTTTTGAAGACACATGCATTAATTGCTTATAATTTACGTGTAGACAATGCAAATAAAGAATATGATTGTTTGAAACTTTAACTTCTCATTTCAAATTTCTAGAAAACAAAAATAAAATTTTTCAAAATATTTAAATTAATTGATTTAAACAGCCATTTTTAATAAACTATATCTAATAATTTTAAATTTTAAATTTTAGCACTCATAATTTTCTTTCTATATTTTTAAGTTATGATTTCTTTTATACCAAAAAATTAAAGTTTATTGCATAGCTTAAAATCAAATAAATCAATTGATTTTTTAGTTTCGAACCGATTTCAAGTAGTTTAATTTTTTGATAAAGGTATCACCAAATCCTGCAAGCCATATAAAGCTTATATATATATATATATATATATATATATATATATTAGTTTCGAATCAATTTCAAGTAACTTAATTTTTTGATAAAGGTATCATCAAATCCTGCAAGTCATATAAAGCATATATATATATATATATATATGTGTGTGTGTGTGAAAGCCAAAGAAAAGGAATTACGTCTTGAAGAAATTATGCCGAAGGACAAATTCCAAAGGACAAAAATAAAAACGTCACAAAACCAAGAGAAGCAAAAAAGAATTGCTTAACGTAGTTGACAATCCAATCTCAAAAGTTACTAAATATATAGGCTTAAAATTTTGTCAACACCTACATTCCAAACATATTATTACACATATTTTTGAAACACAAAAATCAAAACAAGAAATAGTAAGAAATTTGGATACGAGCATGAGGCCAAGAAGTACTGGGATTTCCGGAGCTGACCGTCCACAACAGCAACCTGCTCAGACTTTCAAACCCAAATCAGAATGGAAGCATGAAGAAGCAGCAAGTTTTTTATTTGTTTATCTTCCTGGTATTTTTAGTTTCTCTCTTTCATTGCATCATTTTTGTTTTTTTGTTATATGTTATTAAATTCGTTTATGCGTCTTTTATGAGAATGGTTTGTGTAGGATCATCTCAAGTTTTACTACGTATAAAGAAGTCTAAGGTTTATTCTCTTTAAAAGTATTAAGATCAAAGGTTTGAATTCCCGTTCTAGATCTCTTGTAAGAATAATAACAGATCATACCGGATTTAATTTGATTATTTTCATTAATGCGTAATAATTTATATTTTTAATAATCAATTTAAATTCAATCCAAATTTTTTTAAAATTAAAATTTTAATTTTTTGTTGTTCCACAAGCACGATGTCCTTTTGTAGTTGATTATTCGGATTTTTACTTTAATGTTTTACAAGTACAACGAAAATTGTTTGTAATGGTATAACTATTTTCGTAAACTTCTGGTAAAACCTATATAAATACAGGTTGAGTACTTTGTTTTAGAACAAAAATACTTAATGCGAAATGAATTATCTTTCTACGACCTGTATTATAAATTTTATCTATGTTGTTACTACTATTTTAACATGAATTTGACAAATATTCAAATCGAGTTATTTCTCCATTTTTTTTAATACTTGAATTATAATATTTCTTTATGTTTGATAACTTATTAAAAATTTTTCTATCCAAAAATTAACAACCACAACGAAGCCAGGGCATCGCACTAGATATTTATTACAAATTGTTATAGATATTTGTATAGGAAGATATATATAATTTTTTTTATCAAAACTTTTTAAATGCCAGAGGATCGATATTATTATAATATTAAATGGCGATGCAGGATTTACAATGGACCAATTAACAGTAACACCTGACTATTCCAACCGAACAGTAAAGGTTGAAGGCAGTCGTCGGCTTCCAAATAGCAGATTATTGCCTGTAGACGAAACTGCCAATATTCCTGAAGAATTTGACTTGCCTAAAATGGACATACAATTTGGACGAGGCGTTCTTATGCTTAAATTTCCGAGGAATATTGTTCTCCCTCAACAACAAACTACGGATGAAACAATGGAGGAGGCCCCCAAGCCTCAAGAAACAGTAGTTGACTCGATGACTCGACAGGATGAATGGACTGATCATTCGACCAAAACATCTACGACTGTTCTCCAGAAACAAACCCTAGATACAGCAGTAGTCGTTCCTCCGGTAGCAACTACCGTTGACGAAAAGAGTGCTATGACAGCTTCTAAAAGTGACGAAGAAGAGTTGGTTGAAAGGAAAGTCGAGAAAGATGACAATTGGAAACCAGCTAAAGAAAGCCGTGAGAATGTTGTGCAGAATGATTGGGTGAATGAAGAGGGAAGTAAAGAACAAAGCAAGAAATCAACCATGCCTTCAGCAACGGCTGTTGGTAAGGTTGAAGAGAAGAAAAAGGAAAAGAATCTGAAATCGGCCAATGATTCTGCTGATGCAAAAGCAAAGCAATCAGGAAAGGAAAATATAAATGCCGAAGGCATGAAGGAACCGAATGAAGATAGGAAATTGATAATCAATATTGGCGCAGCAGTCCTGATCATAATGGGACTAGGAGTTTCTCTATTTTATACCTTAGGTAATAAACTAGGTATCTAGATCTTTGGAATCAAAATGCACTGTCATACTTCATGTTAACCATGTGGTGCAAGACACTTGGAGCTCTCTATTGCAATACAAGTCATATTTTAGATAGTCTGAAAATTATTAATTCACTACTGGTAAAATAAGGTTTTGGCTATCTAAACATTTACTGTTTAATAATTGGTACATGCATGATGAATAGAACTGATATATACAATGACATGATATAAAAATGGTATTAAAAAAATAACAATTTAAAAAGTTTAGCAAAAAATGATATATGAATTTAACGAAAACCAAAAAATATATTTTTTGTTTGACATGTTGACAAGAAATGTAATGCAACAATATTCATATTTTATGTGTTAGATACGAAATAAATAAAGATACACAAATGACCAGGCTTAATTGACGGACGATGAAAGTATAACGATCTATTACCATATATAAGTTGAAATTTAAATCCATACTTGTAAAAAGCTTTTTATAAGATAAAACCATGAAACTTTCGGTTCAAAACAGACAATACCTTACAAGTTGAATGTAAATTTTCACAAATACTATTAGAGCGAAGTGGAACAAAACCTAAATGCTACATCAAAATAACTAAGTACTACATGTGAAAACCACCTCTAAAACCCCAACATCCGATGTGATCTTAATTTTGTGTTTTATATGTTAAAGCCAACTCTAAAATCCAACATCCGATGTGATCTTAGTTCTGTGTTTTATGTGTTTTGGGTTGAATTTGACAAAAACATCAAACTTTAATGAGGAGAGCTTTTGACATCCCAATTGAATGCAAATCTTCATAAATGATATCAAAATAAATCCTCAAAATCTCCCGATATCATATTAGAATAAAATAATGCTCCTCTACCTTGATAGAGAACCATGATATTGAGTGACCTCTACTAGAAAAAAGCCTTAAGCTATTAAACTCAACTAATTAAGCAGTTAAACAATAACGAGAAGCCTAGTTAGGGAGGAAAATAGAGACAACACTTCTAATATACATGCTAATGATTGCTTCAAACTTTCAAGACTAACCTAAAATGGTAGTCATAATTCAAAAAACATATCCGAAGACCAAGATGCGCTATTGATAATATGAAAATTTAATCTTCATTATTACTTGATTAATTGACTTTGTTTATTTTAATTAAGCCTCTTTTTTTTAGAATAAAAAGTAATTTAAGTAATTACACCAAATCCATTAGATATTTTTCTATCATGTATAGAAAGTAAATTACTCATTTGATTAGCTATTTTTTATGCATGAAAATCTCAGATTTTAAGGCTGAGAATATTCAATCTGCTTATATATTTTCATGCAATTCTAGCATTGTAATAAAAAAAATATAAAAGAATAAAATAAATTTATTCTAGAGATTTCTTCATGGTATCAAAGCACGAACTGAACTTTTAAAATTTTATGCTCGAAGTCGAGCATGGCCAACGGAAAGGAGAGCCCGACGTCGAAGGTTACCTCTAACTTCGAAGCTAGCGTTTTTCAATCACTATAAAACCTTACCACTTTTATTCGAATAGGTTCTTTAGCACAAAAAGGTAATTTTCTAAGTGTCTTGAGTATAAAACTAGAAAAATCAAATTCATGGATTGTTGATTCAAGAGCTTCAAACCATATGATTGAGGCTGCATTTGTATTTAATAAATACAACTCAAATCATAAAAACTTCATAGTTCGAATTGCTAATGGGTTACTTTCAAAAGTAACCGATACAAATTCTATTTTTATTTCCAAAAAGACAACACTTGATTTTTTTTTTATCCCAAATCTAAGTTACAATCTACTCTTTAAGGAAACTTACAAGAAACCTTAAGTGTATTACTAAATTTCTTTCAAATATGTATGAATTTCAAGATTTAGACTCGAGAAAAATCATTGGCAATGCTAAGATGTGTGCAAAACTCTGTATCCTAAGAGCAATACCTCTTGTGTGACTTTATCCTCTAATAATAATAAAGATGGTACTATCGTGTTGTGGCATTATCGGTTAGCTCATCCAAATTTTTTGTACCTTAAAAGATTGTTTCCCTCATTATTTAATAAAAATCCTAATAACTTTCAGTGTAAAGTCTGTCAACTATCCAAATATACCCGCATCACATATCCTAATCAGCCTTACAAATTATCTCATCCTTTTTTTAATGATACACAATGACATTTAGGGTCCTTCCAAAGTAAATAAAATTACTGACTCCAGATAGTTTCACATTTATTGATGATCACACCTAGGTTATTTGGGTATTCCTTATAAAAGAAAAATCAGAAGTGGACCAACTATTCCAAAACTTCAAAAATATTCAAAACCAAAATCCAATTGTTGAGAACCGACAATGGGAGAGAATACTATAATTCAATCCTTGGGTCATGTCTAATAAAACATGGTATAATTCATCAAAGCTCATGTGTCAATACTCCTCAACAGAATGACGCTGTTGAAAGAAAAAATCAACATTTGTTGGAAGTTGCAAAATCCTCATGATGGCTGCCCATGTACCAAAACATTTTTGGGGTGAGGCAGTTATTACCACTACATATCTTATAAATAGAATGCCTTCTCGAGTCCTAAAATTTCAAAGCCCTTACCAATCCCTTCTCGGTTCCTATTCTTACCTTAGAATCATCTTGTTTATTCCCATTAAAGTGTTTGAATGCATTGCGTTTATTCTTACCAGCCAACAAAACCAAACCAAACTAGTCCCAAATCCATAAAAATGCATATTTCTCGGATACTCTCTGAATAAAAAAGGATACAAGTGTTACTTACCAGTAACAAAGAAATTCTACCATTCCATGAATGTTACCTTTTTTGAAAATCAATCTTTCCCAAAGCTACCATTTAAGGGGAGAATCCAATCACACAAAAATATTAGCTTTAGGAAGATCTTATTACCGAAGCACCAAACACTTCTCAAACTTCCTTTCACATCCAAAACATCCAACCAAATCCTCCAACTCCCTTTCAAATCCAAAACATCCAACCAAATCCTTTAACTCCCTTTCAAGTCCAAAACATCCAACCAAATCTTTCAAACCCAAAGTCCACACAAGGGAAAACAAATAAAGAATTGATTGTCTATTCAAGAAAACATAAAACTCAAAAGGATCTAAGAGAATGTACACCTTTAAAACAAAACCTAGAATCTAAACCAATTTTAGAGATACTTGAAACCAACACAAGTAACACTCTTACTAAATCTAATTCAATTGAATCTTTTGATAATCTTTATCAACCAATTGCTCTAAGGAAAGGTGTGAGATTACGTACTTAACACCCAATTTGTAATGTGATTTCTTAAGAAAGTTTATCACCCAATTATCAGGCTTTTGTTATCACATTAAACAATATACAGATTCCCAATAATATTCATGAAGCACTCGTGCAACTAAAATGGAATATGGCTGTTTTGGAATAAATCAGGCCCTTAGAAAAGAACAAAACATGGGAGATTTCAAAACTACCCAAAAGAAAAAATCCAATAAGGTGCAAATGGATTTTTACTATCAAGCACAATACAAATGGAAGTATTAACAAATTCAAAGCTCGCCTTGTTGCAAAAGGATTTACTCCATCTTATGATGTTGACTATGATGAGACATTTGCTCTGGTTACTAAATTTAATTCAATCCGGATGTTATTATCATTTGCAACAAATCTAGATTAGCCACTCCACAACAAGGTGTCAAAAATGCATTTCTTAATAGCGACCTAAAAGAAAAAGTTTACATGAAAATCTTTCTAGGATTAAAAAACCCAGACAATTCTGGCAAAGTATGTAAACTTAAAAAATCTTTATATGGTGTCAAACAATCCACACGTGCATAGTTTGATAGATTAACAAAAATGGTAAAGAAATATGGCTTTTCACAATGCCAGACCGATCATACCATGTTTGTCAAATATTCACCTCAAGGAAAAATAGACATTCTTATTGTCTATGTGGAGGATATTATTCTCACTGGAGACTGTGGAAAAAATTAGCAACCTACAGAACCCGCTAGCCAAAGAATTTGAAATCAAAGATTCGAGACACCTCAAATATTTTCTTGGCATAAAGGTAGCTCACTCAATGAATGGCATCTTTGTTTCACAACGTATGTCCTAGACTTATTAAAGGAAACCAGAATGCTTGGATGCAAACTTGCTAACACCCCTATGGACACAATGAAAAAGGTAAGGATAGGAGAAAAAACCAATAGATAACAAATATCAAAAACTTGTAAGGAAACTCATCTAACTCTCTCATACAAGATCAGATATCAGTTTTTCGATTAGCATGATAAGCAGATTCATGAACAACCCAATCAAATAACACTTGAAAGCTACGTATCAAATCTTAAAGTACCTAAAGAAGAGTCTTAACAAAGGGTTACTTTTTAAGAAGACATCATGCCGAAATGTTAAAATTTACACTGATACTAATTAGGCTGGATCCGTTACTGACTGAAGATCAACAACTGGTTATTGTACCTATGTATAGGGAAATTTGGTTACTTGGCGAAGGAAGAAGCAATTTGTGGTGATTAGAAGTAAAGTTGAGTTTAGAGCTATATCTCATGGTATATGTGAGGGAATTTGGTTGAAAAGGTTGCTAGGAGAGTTAAAGGTCTCTATAGAAGAATCCATGATATTCTGCGACAACAAAGCTGCTATAAATATAACAAAGAATCCTATTCATCATGATAGGACCAAACATGTGGAGATTGATCGTCACTTCATCAAAGAAAAGATAAAGAAAAGAATTGTTAGATTAGCTTATATTCCTACATACCTCCAAACTATAGACATACTCACTAAAGCTCTCTCTTTAAACAACTTCAAGAATCTGAGATTCAAGTTACGCATGGTTGATATCTACCACCCAGCTTGAAAAAGAGTGTGAAAATCTAATTTCCATTATTACTTGATTAATTGACTTTGTCTATTTTAGTTAAATATCTTCTTTTTAGAATAAAGAGTGATTTGGGTAATTATACCAAATCCATTAAATATTTTCCTATTATGAGTAGAAAGTAAATTACTCTTTTTATTAGCTATTTTTAATGCATAAAAATCTTGGGTTTTAAGGCTAAGAATATTCCGTCTTTATCTATATATTTTCATGCAATTCTAGAATTGTAATAAGAAAAATATAGAAGAATAAAATAGTTTTATTCTAGATATTTCTTCAGATAACTTCTAAATTGGTTCTTACAATTAATAAGAACTTTCAATAATAACTCAACAACATCATAACAAAACTAAATAACATCATGGTTTCATTCAGTTTCTTAATTCCTTGAAGACAACACCTAGTAAAAATAAAACTATATTCGATATAAAATGATTGCAACCAGATATATCCTAGCGATCTATTCAAGCTCAACCTGGTTAACACCACTAAAATATGAACCTGACCTCGACTCAACCCACTCTACCCATTTAAATTTTATTTATTATTAAAATATTAAAAAATATTTTTATATCAAATGAAATAAAAGGACTAAAATGCAAAAACTTAATCACTATCATATGAATCAATTTAACTTTGCTTCTTTTTCTTATTTTTCAATCTGAATGAATGAACCAATCTAACTTGAGAATGAAAATAAAGTAAATAAATCCATCCAAGGCAAATCTTAAAGAGAACAGTGCATTCAATTACCATATACAAGATTCAACCAGTCATCTTCCTAAAGATAAACAAGTTTCTAAAACATTAACAACATCAGCAAAGGAGCAAAACAGGTATGAACTTCGAATCAAAATGACAATTCACATATGATGTTGTAATAAAAGTAGTAGAACTTTCACTCTTTTCAGTACAGGAGAGAATTCTTACCCGTTCAAAAATGGGAGTGTAGTCAAGATTGATAACAGATTCTGATGTCTATCGCATCTACATGAGCACCTTAATTGATAAATTCCATAAATATTGCCCTTAAAAGCTTATTTAAAAAAATTTACAAACAATGTTTTACAGATGCCCAAAAGTTAGAGACAGATGTTTGAAGAATTGGTCATTTATTAGAATATCAAGACCATTTCAAACTAGTATTTTGTATACGAGGATGAAAAATCAGTGCCTCACCTATCTCATCTACTCTCCAAGGCTGAAGAATCGCAGACCTTGAGCCTTCCCATTTGCTAAAGCAAAGACACAATAATTCAACCAAAGTAATTTAATTTCAAGACTGTGCCACACCATCATGTTGTATATACATATACGAGAGAAAGAATATCTAAGAATAGAAGACTATTTGAGATAGACCCGGCTATTTGAAACACGGTCCAATGATGCAACATGAAAACGATACAAAAAAATATAAAAAGATGACATCGTTTAAAATTTTAGCAAAAACCATATATGGGTTTAACAAAAACAAAATATATATATTTCGTATTTTACATGTCAACATGAATTGTGACACTTAATTTTCGTATAAAACATGACACGTACACAAATTACCAATGTTTTACACAACACAACTATTCAAATTGTCAGATCTAATTTGAGAACAAGGAGTTACCAATCAAAGTTAGATTCTCTTTCAATACTATCCATTTGTAAGTACACTGCCTCTTCCCTACCCCCACCCTCACTAAGATCTTTTTAAATGAATAGTTACTGTACTTTCTGGCCTTTCCATGATCATCAGGTTTTATTTCCTAAAAAAGAGAAGACCCCTTTTGTAATACCCAATAATATATGAGATCAAAACAAACAGGGCTCAGCAATGTATTCATGAATGTTCAAATATTACTACATCTTACATTCATGTAAATCCAGAGGAGTAACAACTAGTTCCCCCTGAATTGGGGTAAAATAATTCTTCTTTTGATTCTTTGCCACCTTGAGAAAATATTAGAACAAAATAGAACCTAACCAGGATAGACACCCTTTTGGCAATGAATCATACAACGATGTCACAATGACAAATTTTATCTAAAATATTCTGAAAAAAAGCCCCACCCAAAGAAAATAACTGGATAATGTAGGTGCACATTCACATTACCCAGTCTTATATTCATATCATTCCGATGTTCACAGCTTAAAGGCATAAATGAGTCAAATTTAATATGGTATCAGGTAATGATGAAGAAAATTCAAATAGCAATTATTTACATGATATTTAAATATGCATCATTTTTCCAAGAGATTTCCAAATGTAAGTTTTTAAGTAAAATTTGGGCTGTAAAGTTGTGAGTTCCCAACATTATGATCACCTTTTTTATTTTTTTCCAAAACTTGTTTTCTGTTTGACTTTTTCGAGAGAAAATATTTTTCCAAAATACCTTAAAAAAATCCACACATCACGCTAATCTTGGGATGAAGTGGATATGACCTATTTAAAGTTACTAAATGTCCAGACTGGTTGTTAAAAGTTATCTATACCAAACATGTGACAAGACAAATAGCCACCTCCATGTATGCTTGTGATTAAGATATTCAATTGACTCTTTACCCTGACCGTGTCTAATATCACCTAAAACAAGAGTTATCCTTGCTCTGTGCAGAATTTAGTCATCTAACTAGGTGAAGATATGCATCTATAGATAATAACGTCATTTGCAGATCCCTCCAAAAAAATTGATAAATAGCTCTAAGCTTTCCAGCTACAGGTTTTCTCATTCTCTTATTTTTTCTTTTTCCCTTCACCAGTTCAAATGGCAAATATGTGACAATTCTGATCTACTAGTAATCATCAGAGCCATCATCCGCATATACACCATTGCCATAATCCTGATCAACAACAGATTTATTTTTTGTTTTTGACAACCTACCAGAAGACTTCAAGGGTTTCAAGGGCTTCCTGACCTTCTCTGCCTGTAACTCCAACCCCTTCTCTGAAGGCTTCCGTTTTCTTTTCACCCGTGTTCCTCCCGTGTCCTCTGAAACAATCAACAATTTAAACACATAAATCAAGGTCCATTTGGGAAGCCACCATAGAACATTAACAATCTGACATAACACTAGGAGACTAAAAGTTCATTTCAATCTTTAAATTTCTCATTAATGGCATCCATCAACGACTCAAAATACAGACACTGGGTTAAGCATTTTTCTCCCAAACTATAGAGATTTGCTTTTAAATTATCTTCAGCTTTTTTACTAAAATCTAAAGAAATCAATTTCCAGCTTATGTCATCATCTGCAATAACATTCTCATATTTTCCATAACATCAGAAAGATAAAACATTACTAATTAGAAATCCAGGAAAAACTTAGAAATTGCTTGATTGCTGTTTTAATTGCAAAACATATTGACAAAATCTCATAAATGAGACAACTGAAAGCAATTTTTGACTCTTCCTATATATTGCACAAAAACTCTTAGACATCCAGCAAAACTCTATCCATTTGCAGAGTCACATGAATGAACTTGACCTATATTGCTAGAGATGGTCAAAGAACGTCCTTTCTCTTTGCTTAAAGGTATTGCATAAGGTGAAAAGATTCGGTTAAAATAATGTGTAATTCAAAAGCAATCTACTCAAAATGCATCAAACTCCCTAAGATTCCATTCCATTTTTCTTTCTTATATCTTCATAAACATCCATTTCAGTTCACAAATTGTTTCTATAATACGACAGTGATTTCTATCCTAAATAGCAGCAGGTTGAAACTTTAGCCAGGCCAAACATTCTCCCAGAACTATGCCAACCACCAATCCACTGAAGGTTTGGTTCCTTAAATATGCTTCATTTAATAAGAATCATCTTTAGAATTTTAAGGGTAGAACAGCCCAAGTAAATCGGAGTTAAGACAAAATACCAGCATCCTGACCCAACTCAACAACAAAGCTACATATCTGAATTCCCCTGGGAAATTGCTAACATTTACATTTATCACAACTAGGTTTCATTGACACATGAAATCGCATACGAGTGATTTTACACCTGAAAAGAACAACTTTTGAGTAGAAAGATTGCTTCCACCTCTATTTAGAAAATAATAACACTGTTGGGAAATTAAAATGAAATAGAAGAAAATCATCAAATATGTAGAGTCCACATATACTTGTATGATGTTTTCCTACATAGCATAATTAATTGTTAATAAAAATTAAAATTACCAAAACAAAGATTCAAGAAAAGGTAGTGAAATTAAGAAATCATATATGAAGAATTACAAAATAGTAATAATAGATTACACAGTTTTTTCATGAAAAAAGTTCAATGTTTAAATAAAAATGATAGAATAGAAGTAAAACACAAATGAACAATCCTTTTTCTTGTATAATAGAATAACACCAAAATCTGAATCTAACACTACCAAAACCCTCTATCCATCCCAACAACTCAAATTAAGCCCAAGTGGCTAAGTGGCTTTAGGCTGCTTTTTTAAATTATACAGACTTAGATGTTATAGGAGATATTGCATAATCAACAAATAATAATTACATATCAAAACCTAAAGTTTGGAATTCCCACTTTCCACAAAGTTGGCATAACCACTGATACCTTTAGGAGTAACCAGAAAAATTGGCCAAAAACTCATGGGTTTTAAACTCATTTATTGGAACCTATTTTACAAAATAAGGACCAACAAATTTCACTGGTTTATGTAGCTAGCATATTATTCCTCTTAAAATGGACTGAAAGAATTGTTAAACATTTATGATACATTTGAGGGGGACAAATTTACCTTCAGGTGGACTTGAGGCATTGTTGGCTACTGGTCCATTCTGTCCATTCTCTTCCGAGAGAGGGGATCCAGAATGATTACCATCAATCAATTTTGAAGAACTTCCCACACACTTGTCTTGCTGCTCAGGAACATCTGGACAAGGAATGGCAGGCAAGAAGCATAATTCTTCTTGCGACATATCTGAATCACTGAAAGGATCATTCTCCACTGTCACAATATCAACTTCATCATCTTCATTTACATCTGACTCTTTCACCTACATCCATAAGAATATTTTAGAAACAAGAAGTTAATCAAAAGATTCACACACATGGTCTGTTTTGTCACCTTTTCAGTTTCAGGCACCAGATCAAATTCATCTTCTCGTTCTACATACTCCTCATTTTCCTCAAGCTCTTTGAAATCAGGAGCAAATGCACTCCAGTTTTCAGTGTAGTCTTTAGCCCAAATATAAACCAAGCCAGTCAAGGAAACAGATACAATAATAGGGTGAACAGGATGCCACGCTAAATCGAACACTGCTTCCTTTGGACCTTCAAGTATTTTAACAAGATGACCAGCCCTATCCCATATGTAGATCTTGTGCTCTCCTTTGCTAGCAGAAGCGGCTATTACCCACTCACCATCACCACTGAAACAAGGTGCTTTCCAATGCATCTTAGTGATTAAATCTTGGAACTCCCGAAAAAGAACTAAGCATTTGGACCCAACAGCCTTCATCTTCTCAACAGTATCCTCCTCTTCGATGGTCTTGTTAATGTCATCAAAAGCTCCAAGTCCATCTTTCAAAGGCAGAAGATTTTCATAAATCCTGATAATTCGATCATTTGAATTTGTAAGGAGATACTGCCCATTTCTGCTGAAAACAATGTTCTTGATCACAGCACCACCAGAAATGGGAATCATAGCAAGCATTTTAATGTGTTTGTGATCTATTATAAGTATTTCACCTTTGGAGTTCCCCACATATACCAGATCCCCATTCTTGTTAAAGCATGCAGCAGTTAGTGTGAAAGGGGTTCCATCAGGGAACTTGTTGCGTGAAGGAGGAGCAACACCATTGCCCGTATCAGGAACAGTGACTGGGAGTGCAGTTGTTCTTCCAGTACTTAAGTCAACAATCATTGGAGCAGATGATAGGGGGCAAGCTAAGCAAACAGATGGCATTGAAGAACCAGGATGCAGACGAGCTTGTAGAGGGGTTTGTTGCAGAATGATACGTGTAATCTTCTCGCCACTAGCAACATCCCAAAGTGTTAATGACTTGTCAGCAGCAGACACAAGAATTTGATGGCCATATTTCGACCAGCAGACGCTTGTTATAGCAGCAGCACAGTCTTTATCTCTAAGCTCCTTGGCAATGCCCCTGGTCTCAAAATCCCAGATAACACAACTTCCATCAGAGCATCCAGCTGGCACAGAATGCAAAAACCAGAATCATGTATCAGTTGGGAAATAATTTCAGAACACCTTGAGATTTATTTTCATGATTTTCTTAATCTGATTAAAAATAGTACAGAAAAGAAAATTGCGGATTCAATGGAAACATAACCAGAAGAGTGCATGATTTTGTAAACTTAGCAACAAAAACAATATCACTAAAGAAGTAGTAAAGTAGTTATCCTCACTCATTTACTTCTTTTTTAGTATTATTAAAATACCCATTTAAAATATTACATATTTATGGGATTTTCTTCTTTTTCTTCTTCAAATTTGTAAAGTTATTGACAAATATGTATGAGGTTTTGCTTTCTCCTCTTATTCTTCTTCAAATTTTTTTAATAATAAAAACCCATTAATTATTAACCTGAAGGGAAAAAAAACTTATTGTTGCAACTCAAACTAGCTCAACTCTCCATGGGAAAGCTCCCCTTTTAAAAATAAGAATGAAAACCAGCTCTTTCATCATTCATAGTTGCAATTTTCTTTTTTTTTTTTTTTTTTTTTGCTTTTGAAAATAGTATAGTAAAATGAACACACACACACACACAGAGAGAGAGAGAGAGAGAGTTACCGGCGAGAAGGGTGCCACGGCGATTAAAGGCAATGCACTTCATAGCCCCATGCTCCAAATATTCTTCTATCACCTCTGGAAAATCTCCTTGCAATGGATCTTCCCGCCAACCAAAAAAAAAAAACCATTTTTTTACATTAATCAGTAGAGAACCCAAAAACTAAAAAAAGACGTCTTACCAATAATTGGGGCATTCATCTTCACTTGTCGTTGGTATGCTTAGTTAGAGCCCCCAGTGAGACAGACACCCAAAGCAGAAAGCAATTTTGGAAGAAGTGACGCAAACACACAACTGAATAAATCCGTTTTCTATTCTTCGATTTCTGCTAACTAAACAGAAAGCAAAATCCGACGACTTCCCCAAAAGAAAATGCTAACCAATTTTTAAATTGTTTAAAGAAATAAAGGGGTTATAAGTGAGGGAAATCCCCTAAAAATAATTGAAAATTTCCCTGTTCTATTTGGGTTTCTTTTTTTTTTTTACGCAGCCGTAGCCCTTAAATAAATAAATATATATATTCATATTTATATTTATGCTAATAGGACTCTGCTTAGTTATATTTTTTATTTTGGATCTTTTGTGGCGAAGTATAATTGTTATTAATTTAATTTTGATTCAAAAATTAAAAAAAAAAAATTAACTCTTACAATAATGTAAGTGAATTCTTATTTTATTTATGTATATAAAGTAAATTCATTTATATTAATGTAATTCTTATACTTTTTTAATTTTTATATTAAAATTAAATTTATAACTCATTTGAATCAAAATGATACTTTTAAATTTAATAATTCTGATTTAAATATAAGAAAATAAAAATTAAATTTATTTAAGTGCAAGTCTTTTTTTTTTTCTTTAAGTTACACTTATAATCCAATATTATATTCATATAAATAACTAATTATTAAATAATCAATTAATAAATTATAACTTAATTAAATAATCAAACTCACACACAATAAGATTTAAAACTAAGATTTTAAGATTTTTAGACCTCTTCTTTGACATAAAGTTACGGCCTCATTAGCAAATTATGCCTTCTCATATATATATATATATATATATATATATATATATATAAACATCTTTAATTATAAATATAATTTTTAATTTATTAATATAATAGTACTTTTGAATAGGCATTTAATTAGGATGAAGAGGTCTCTTAACTGAAATTTTATATTTCATAATCTATTTTTTATTTTGGTTGAAAAACTTTTTTGCATTAAAAATCTTATATTTTCAACAATATTTTTAAAAAATAAAAAAATTAAAATTAAAATTTCTAATTGTTAGGGGTATTTTTTAGTTTAAAAGATAAACTAATCTTTTTTTTCATTAAAGATGGTCTGTATAGAGTCAGGAGTGCCCGATCTAGTCACCCTTGGAAGACAACTTGTAGAAAGACAATCAAGTTATGACGATATTGAGGCCTTCTCGGCCTCTTGAAAAAAAGAACGTGCACCACTATCCAACCTCTACCACTCTTACACCCTTATAACAACCACCATCTTAAAAATAAACAACCCATTCCTAAACCCTAGCAAAACAAAGATCTTGAAAATCAGATGTAGGTTATAAAAAAGGAGTTAAAAGGGAAAGTTATGACTTTTGAGTACAAACTGAAATTCCTAAAGACATCACCTTTTAGTAAGGAAATTCATAATATTATACCTCCAGAGGGATTCAAGATGCCAACCTTGGAGACTTAAAACAGTACAACTGATCACTTTGATCATTTGAAACTTTATAGAAGTAACATGATGATGCAGGAAGCATAAGAAGCTCTCATGTGCAAATGACTGGTAACCACTCTTAAAGGGGAAGCTCGGTCCTAGTATTGTAGTTTGAAACCAAGGTCTATGACTACTTTTAAGAAGCTTAGTCACAATTTTTTGTCTCAATTTGTAAGTAGCAAAAGAATTAAGAAAACTACTTTAAGCCTAATGCCTATCCATCAAGGTAGAAAGAGGTCTCTAAAAGACGATGTTAAGTGTTTAAATGTGGAAGCTCTACAAGTAAAAGATTTAGAACAAATAGCCATAGTGGCTGCCATTACCAGTGGACTCAATAACATATAGTATTATTTGAAGATTACTTTTTCCCTTGAACTATAAAAAACATTAACTGATTTGCTACTTGTCATAAAAAAATATATCAACGTAAAAGCTATAATGAAAACCAAGGTAAAAGAGGCTTATCCTTTTTCTCGGAGGTCAAGGTGAGAGAGAATCATCCCTCATTTTCAACCAAAAGAAAGGTAAAGAAATCTTCAATTCTCCTTCAAGGAGGCAATAAAGGTATTCTAGGGCCAAGAGCCTAAGCAGATAATAGAACTACACAATAGTGAATACCTCCAATAAAAAGATTCTAATACAAATAAAAAGGGACCCCAACTTCAGATGTCTAAAGCCATTAAGGTAGAACACCCGATGAGACCCTAACAAAAGATACACATTTCACAGGGATTTTGGCCATAACATTGAAAACTATATCAAGTGAAAAATGAAATAGAAAGTCTAATCAGAAAAGGTAAGCTAAATAGATTTATGGATTGACTAAGACAAGGTTAGGGAAAGCCTAAATACAAAAAAGGGAATCGAAAAGAAAAGCCAATAAAGATTCATAGGGGAAAATCGAAAATGAACTAAGATGGTAGAAAATAGAAAAAAATGAACAGGCAGAAGAAGGCTAAGCTATAGATAATCGACCTATTGAAGGTATCATTAATGTGATAACTGGTGAGAGTTCCAGCTCAACTAAAAAAAAGTTTGATAAGGGGATAGTCATGGGCATTAGATCCTTGTTCAAGGAAAAAAATAGCTAGAAAGATGACTGATCTCTTTCAGTTCAAAGAATTTGGAAAGGATTCAGTTTCCTCATGATTATTCAATAATGGTCACTGTTACAGTACACAACCATGTGGTTAAAAGGATTCTATTTGATAGCGAAAGTTTAATTGATGTACTGTATTATGTTACCATGATAAGATGGGTATAAGGAAAGAAATATTGAAGCCATTCACCATCATTTTGATTAGTTTTGGGAATGAACAAGTACTAGTAAAGGGAATTATCAAGCTACCGATCACACTGGGCATAAAACCAAGTAGCTTCACCTAAGTTATCGAGTTTATGATGGTATATGTACCCTCAACTTTCAACATGATATTCGACTAATCTAGCCAATATATCATGCAGCAAATTGGCTCAATACTTCATTTAAAGGTTAAATTTTTAACTTCAAATGGGGTTGAAGAGGTTAGAGGACATCGATCCATGCACAACAAGGTTATGTGACGATAATGAGTGGTAAGACTGAAAACGGACTGAAAAGCTTTACCAAAATTATGAAACTAGAGAAAGCAGATACAACTAATGTAAAGATAAAAAAAAATGAAATAAGCAAAGCAAAATAACCTTGGTAAAGAGTGACATGAAACAGAGAAAGAAAAAGAAGCACGCTCTTAAGTCGCTTTGAGCTCTTAAGCTCTACAATTATGTACACTACAAATTTTTACAATTTTTGAGTAAACCCACAAAAGCCAAACTTCTAAGCTGGCATAAACACATGCATGACAAACAAAACTAAGTTATCAAGCAAGAAAGCATTTAAACTTGTGAAACAGAACCGAGCTCTTAAGCTGGTTAAAGAAAGTTTGAAATGAAATTCTATATTTTAATCAAGTTTTACTTTTCTACTAAATTATTTCACTGACAATCAACTAACTGTCACACCGGGATTTATCTTTCTCGTAAAAAATAATCTTGACTTAACCGAGCAAAAAAAATCATTGATTAAATATAAAAAATTAATGACAATTGACCCGAACATACGAAATCTCATTTTTGTACCATTCTAAAAGAATAATTCTAAAAGTGTATGCAAATTAGGGCAAAGCTTCACCATAAAAAACAACAAATTCACCTATTAAAAAAAATGTTGACCTATTTGCATGGACTTTATCTAATATGTCGTGTATAGCTTCCAAGGTGATGGTCTATCAACTGCACATTAATCTAAACATAAAACTAGTTTAGCAAAAGAAAAGGACTTTCGCCTTAGAAAGACAAAAAGCAATAGAGAAAAAGGTTGACAAATTGTTAAAAGTAGACATCATCAATAATGCATATTATCTTGATTGGATTACCAACATGATCATAGTAAAAAAACACAGTAAGAAGTAAAGAATGTATGTGAACTTTACTAACCTTAATAAAACCTATCTAAATGAAAGTTTTCCCTTTTTCCAACATTAGTCGGTTGGTAGATGACAGTGTATAACAAGACCTATTGATTGCTGCTTTTCATATAGAGCTTGTAAGTGCACAGATTAAGTAATAAAGTGGAGTATTATAGTATTATCTCCTCAATGATTATAGAAAAGAATATTGAGTTGCTTACAAATATCAAAGATGAAAGGCTAAGATCTTATAACTAAACAATTAAGAATTTAGGGTTTAGGTTGCAGGATCAAGTAAAAATTAAAGGTGATATGTAGACAGATATCTTGACTTCACTAATTGTCACTTGAAAAGTAAAAGATTGTTGCTAAAGACTAAATATAATAAAACAAAAATCATAAGATTGTAAACAAGAAATCTTAAAAATGTTGAATTACTTTTGTAGAAATAAAAATTGCAGGAAAGAAATCAAAGAACAAGAAAATGCATAATGGCTTAATCTTGCAAAAAAAAAAAAAACTTGGATCTTGAAAACTAAAGATTACTTGTGCCAAATTTAAAGAAAACAAGAATAAGAATTGAATCTTAAAGACAAAAAAAAGATCTTTAAGTGAAATATTTATTGATTGAAAAAGAATTTAAAGAATAAGAGCTTTTTTATTACTAAATTTGCCATTCAAACTAATAACTTACCTAAAAGAAAAAAAGAACTAAAGAAACTAAAGAGATAAGAAAAGTGAAGAGCTGAATGATAGAATGAGGGGAATGGCCTCCGTATTTATAGAGTGAAATTCGACCAAGGGGATGAAGATTATAAGTTGTTAATTTAAATTCAAATGCTTCGTGATAGCTTAATGTTTATCTTCAAAAGAGGCATGATCGAATGAAACTCTTCTTCCTTGTGTATGTTTGGCCGAATGGGGTCTTAGAGGAGCAATCTTGGCCCTTCATCACATCTTGAAGTAATATTGATGAAACTTTCTCCCTTAAGTTTGACGAAGATAGATTTCAAAAGCTAGAATTTGAATTTCATCCATCTTTTAAAGAGATAAAGTTTTTTTTCAAGTAAAACTTTTCAATGCTAAGTTAAGTGTCATGATAAACTTCAATCTCTTTTGGTTGAATAGATTGAGCATGTAAAGTCCAAGTTCTTATAACTTTTCTTTCTCTCTTGGATGGTTGAATATGCTAGAGTCCTTATACAATTCATTCTTTTCATAACTAAGCAAAATAAACATGCTTGTCTTAAAACTCCATTTTAGTCAAATATGGTGGTGTCCAAATGAACTTGGAATTGCT